CAGTCCCAAATACATCGAAGGATGTGGCGGGCATTCAACCCTTTAGACGCTTACATCGAAGGATGTGGCGGGCATTCAACCCTTTAGACGCTTACATCTGACCCATTTCATATCTATGCTTTACCACACAGTCTCAGGATCGTATTTAAACAGCTGGAAGAGGCGAAAGATTGCGACATTGAAGACGCTTTTCGAATGGATTACCGAGTGGGCCAGCGCGTGCTTGCCCTCAATGCCTCCCACGATTCTTCAGTCACGTCTACTGGCCTAGCGGGTTTGAAAGACTTGTCAGGTGATCACGTGGCGAGTTTTTTCCAGGCTTTTCCCTGTGTCACAGAGGAGCTGCGCCTGCCAGAAAAAGAGCGGGTCGGCGAGAATCAGCCAGATCGCCGTGATATCGATGTGGAATTGGAAAGAAGGTTTGGCAGGACAAGTACAACAAGAGGATCGATATAATGACCGTAAGGGTGTTAGGAGTGAGGTCATCCACACCGAAGACAAAACATCAAAAAAAAAATTAAGTTTTGTGTCTTCAACATATCGACATGGCCTTTCCTTTCACAATCATATCGATTTACCAGTTCCTCGCGAAAAATGATGGCACGTGCATTCTTAAAGGAAAAAGGAAATGAACTGTGTGACCTTACAAATCGTCAAGATTTACTCCCCACATCACTTTGAACTATGCGATTCAGCCGAGGAACACCCCCACTGCTGCCGGGATCCAAGTCTCGCCAAGCATCATTCCAGGCCCGCTGGATCTGGAATATGCGGAAGCAATTCCGACCAATGTTGTTGCTGGGACGGATCGGGTCTTCAATGTACAACGGATCAAATTTGTAAGGATTCTCCAGAAATGAGCCCCCTGCAGGGCGGACCTGTTGCTGCTGGTGGACATAATAATAAGGTAAATGTACATCGCCCGCGCCGCCAAGGCTTACACGTCGGTTGGAGCCAAGCGGTGGCATATTTTGCTGATGGTGTTGATGGTGTTGATGATGGAGATGGCTCTGTTGACTGCTGCGGCTAAAGTAGCAGCGCTGGTTCGTGCTTATGCCCATGCTGCGCGGATCAAAATGATTACTGTAGAAATCTAAAAATCCTAGCAGGAGCGCTCCTGTATCCATGGCATTTGATTGCTCCTGTAGGTAGCGCGCAACCATCAAAACGAGCCCATACGAAGAGAGACCCCCAGAGTAAGATTCCATGAGCCCTCGCTCTTTCATGAATTGCTTTAAAACCAACACCAAAGGCCGGAGTGCAAAATTTTCTCCGAGAAGCTTAGCAATGACGCGATTCGCCAGGAGCCCGTTGTGCTGACCACCTTCAATTGAGACGTCCAGGTGCACCCCGTATTCGACTGTCCACCCCATATTTAATGCGACACCTTCCGGTTCCGCTGACAAATCTGCCTCATTCCGACAAGAATGCGGACGCTGGCTTGCAGCTGCCATTTCCGAGTGTTGACCTGAAGCTACCGTTCCTGTCCCCCCTTCGACTGGTGATGTCGGATGTGGCGATGCCGGACTGGGCCTTGGCTGCGATTCCACTGTCATTTTAATCACTGGGATCGCCGTATGCGAAATTATCTTGATACTTGCCGGGTTCACCCAGGATGTGGCTCGCAGCCGTCGAGCTAACTCTTGTTGCCAGGTTTCCTTTATGGCATTGCGGCCCTCCAGGACTCCGGGAGCCTGGGCAGGAGCGTCTCGCCGGACATTTGGCAGACAAATAATGAGATCAACGTCACTAGAAGGCAAAGCCAATCCTGAGACAAAAGAGCCGAATGCTTTCACTTGTGCGCGGGGCCATAGGGACTGAATGACTTGTCGACAGCGATTAATGGCCACCGTTTGCTGAGGGAGACGCGAGCCAGTACATACAGACACTCGCTCGACAAATGCTGCAATGTCATCGCACAAGCGCGAACGGATGTCGAGAGGAATTTGACGCAGAGTGAAGCCAAAGCAGACATGTGCCGATGATTGGCACGGCCCGTTTTCACTGTGCCGAGACCATTCTCTGCCCGCATGGAGTGCAGGAATTTCACACTCAGCCTGATAGGTCGAATTCGCATGAGCCACACCTGGCGTAGAGAGAGATGAATGTGTACAGACGTCATCTCCTCCGAGCGAGACAGATGCCGAAAGCGCATGCCGTGACTGCCGATGGTCCTGTGAAACGTGATTTCGCTGAGGCTGCTGAATCGGATTGATAAGGGGCTGTCTTTCTCCCCACACATGCAGAGGACCAGAGGGATTCCGAGGAATCGAGACTTCAAAACTGCTTCCGGTACGCTTTCCATGAATACAGTTCCGGGTAGAAGTAGCAGCAGCTATACTCAGGACGGGCTTGTCTCCATTACCAGGATACAAATTTTCTATGCCGCCGTTCGCAGCAAAAGGGCTGACCGCACTCAATGCTACATGATGCTGGGAACCTTCTCCAAGCCAAGCTGCTGTAGCTGTGCCATCCGCTCCACCCCCGCGGCCGTCATCACTCATTATCTCCAACTGATGCAGTTCGCTCCTCTGGAGGAATGGATGTTGGTACGGAGGAACATGCTTTGTATGCAAAGGAGCAGAATCAAATCCATACGATGGAAAAGCTAAGCTGTGCGTGTATGATGTGTGTAGATTACCGCTCCCTGAGGAAATTGCCTCTCTCTGAGCCGCCAGGACCCCCCTCAGCGTGGCAACCTCCGCTTCTAGTTTCAAGCAGAGGTCTTTCAGGAGTGTGTCGTTGGATGAGGCACTAGTTACCGCCCCGCCCTGGCACAATGAATTTTCCGGCGGAATATTTTCTGTGTCTGTCACAGATTCATCTTGTTGACCATCGCATGTCATCGACGACCCGTCTCCGTCTACATCCTCGTATTCTGCAAGGACCTCATCTTTTATCTCGCACTTCCGCGCCATCTTCTGGGTTTCAACCGTCAACGAATTCTTTTCTCTTTCCTCGTCCTTGTAGAAGCACATCACACCTTCATCCCTTTTCTTTTCGTCGTATTGGACGCATCTCGAAAATCCCGTCGGGAGATGTTCATTCCGAGGTTTGGAATTTTCACTTTCCCGCATAACAGTTTTAGACCCAGAGTCCATTTCAATTGAAGGTCCCTCTATCATCTTTATGGATGTGAGACACGGTGGTGAAGACAAAGCGCGTGAAAAATGGCGATCTTCGCCGTCTTTCCTCGCAATCAACTTTATTTTTCCCTGCACGTTAGTGTCACGCAAATCCGCGGTGTGCTTCTGTTCCTCTTGCATGACAGTCCTGTATTCGCCAGTGGCAACGTTACCGGAGAGAGTGACTGTCACTGGTGCTGGATCTGGACATTTATCGCGGCGCTTTTTCTTTTTCTTCTTCACAGTCCCTACCGGCGTGAGAGAGGCTATCGTAGACGTCGTCCCGGCGAAAGGTTGCAGAGACCCATTAATTTTCTTTTCAATGCCTTCTTGCTCGAGCTCATCTAGCAAACGTCGCTGCTTCCAAGATGTCCTCCGCTCCATTAACTCCGCGCGAAGCAAGGCCTGGATGTGACCATAACGCTGCGGCTCGGAGATTGCGTCGCCTAGTTGAGCGCTGAATAGGTCGTCCAGAAAAGCTTCGCGCAAACCTTGATCTTTCGTGTCACCCGTCAATAAGCATTGCAATTTCTTCTGCTGGTAGGGAAGTTGTTGTGTAGTCTCAATCATAAACTTCAACTGACAGCACCACATCTTAAAGGCGCCGTCGCCAACGACCATCTTCTCCTTCTCCTTTCGGATGACTTGGCGGATCACCATGGCCATGGCAGAGAGAATACAGCGCAGTCGAGCCTGTGGATCGGACAAATCAGTGAAAAGAAAGCTTTCCAAGGCCTGACGCTCCTCCGAGTAACCAGAAAAAGAACAAATTGCCACACTTTCTGATGAAGGCTTTCTGGCCGGGCGTTTGCTCCTATCGGCATACCAGCCTTGACAGAGCAAGAGCTCTATTTTATTAGCTAGAAGCTCCCCGATAGAGTAATCTCCTTTGCAGCGAAACCAAGCGGCCTCTCCGAATATTTCGCCTGTGGCCTCTATCTTCGTCAAACCTCCTCGGAGGAAGCCTCCATCGGACGCATCTTCCAGAACTTGGAAAAACTCGTCCACATCCAGCACCAGGTCTCTCGAGAAGAAGCCCGCGACCCGGGATACGGGCTCCTGCCACTGTTGATCCCTTTGAGACATTTGCGTGGATGATGGCCGAAACAACCGCAAACTCGCCGCCAAGGTCTCCCAAGCCCGCCACGTCCTCACTCTCGTACCCACACGCACGGGGTCGCCCCACGCGCTCCGTCGGCTCTCGTCCGGCCGCACCATGAATGGCTCTTCCCGAAGGCGAAAGCAGTCCGCAGCTTCTCGAACGCCATGCTTCATTGAACTACGTGCACTTGTGTTTATAGAAAAGTGATGAATATAATCTTTCGTACCAAACACATGTCAGGTAGATACAATAGGACGTACCACGCATTAGAGCGGCTAGGCCTCCCCGAAATAGAGCGTGTGGCGAGCGCGGGGACAGACTCTGCAAAAATATAGAACTTAACCATACTGGGCCGACGGCCTTGTCGCGGAGGAAGGGCGAGTGCCTTACTGTGAAGGAGGAGGAGGAGGTGCAGGAAGGCTGGTTCGACCACTTGGAGGAGCCGGACTCTCCGTGAGACAGACAGGCCTCTGAACCACGCTTTTAATTGCACCTTGGCATGCATTGCTGCTTTATCTCGCGCCTTATTGCTTGACGCTGATGCCTGGGTCTGCAGATACATCAAACCATCCAAAAGTTCTTGAATCTCGGGTGTGCGCCGTCGCATAGGTTGGGAGGTAGTCTTCATGTTTTTTCAAATGTCGGCCTTCTTAATTGTGTTTCAGCTGTCCGAACGCTTTTGATTCCGTGTGCGCCTCCATATCGACACAAATCCTATTTGTTACAGGATTTTTTGCGTCAATAGTTCTTTAAAACAGACAAATATCACATGAGAAATTCTTCCTCCCCTTCGCCGCCTGCGATGATAATCCGACCCCTGTGCTTCGTTCCACAGTACACGATAGCCAGCCTCTTTGTCTATTTGCGCTGGACGACGCCTTCACGTACGGACACTGAAATTAGGAGTAATTTCGTTGTGGGGGGAAGGGTGGAAGTCACCGGCACTGCTCCTGTCGTGATGGATTACTGGTGAGTGCGGGCTCCAAGAGGGAGGGCGCCTGGGGCTCGCCTGTCGTGGCGGAAACCAAGTCGACCCGCACTGCGCGTGCTGCCGCGATCTGAGTTCTTTGACTCATCTGCAAGTTCTACTTTCATTCTTAGGCCTGGCTGTCGAGCCAAATATGAAAGTGCTCCTCCTATCTATCGTCGCGAGCGCGTTATCCACCGTGTATGGTAAGAAGAGGAAAAGGAAAGATACGGGGGAATAAGACCTGACCTGCAGAGCTAGACATCATCTTGCAAGCTCCAGGTTGATCATAGTATAGCTTTCCGGCTATAATGGAACTTTGGCACCGTGTTGCAAACTTTGAAACAGCGCATTATTGCTTAGTGGTCGTAACTGCGGCTAGTTCGCCTGCCCAGGGAACAACTCATGTTTACTCTCACGTACATTCGTGCACACGATTATGTTTTGCTGTTCAGCTTTCCTGCCAAATTTACCCAGAGGGCTCTCCAATCATCAATCCCTAACTCGGAACGGGTTATTTGGTCACAAGGTGACAATTGAGGTACGGGCAATCTCCTACGTCAGTGAACTCTTTTCTGAGTCGGTCTTTCAGGCCAAAGAAGTTATTCCTATCTCTTGCGTGCACTCGCATCGGTGTGGGTTCAAAAGCTTTATATCTGTAATATGTTGAATTTACGAACACAAGTTTGCCCCAAAAAATCGCGCTTATCCATCTGCATCTCACCACATTTAAAGACGCTCGACGGGAAAACTCATGAAATTAACGTGGAGTCGTACAAGTCTGTTCTTGAGGCGGCCCTGGATGAGGGCATCGAGCTTCCACATGACTGTCAATTAGGCACGTGCCTTGTCTGCGCAGCGAAGCTCATCTCTGGCACGGTGGATCAGACAGGATCTACTTTGGATGACTCGGTCATGGAGCAAGGGTACGCACTTACTTGTTGCTCCTATCCTCAGTCTGACGTGACGATCCGCTCGATCCCGGAAGACGAGCTAATTGATGAACAGTTTGCACGCGCCTAGTTCTTCCCCCTTGGGGAGGAGGATTTACGTTGTAACGATGACGAAACATAGTGAGGAAGCTCCTGAAAACAAACATGCACGCTGCACGCTGTCTCGTTGCAGACATTCGCTTCGGCAACCAGTGCCTACAATTGATTCACTTTCCATTCTTTTCTTTACATCCCTGCCACGTTCTGTTGCTCCCCAAGCCCGCCTTCCGCTAAACGCTGCTTGAGGACACCCTTGAGGAAAAACTCCCCCGCCTTGTAGCTAGAGCGGACTAGAGGCCCGGAGGCCACATACTTGAAGTTTAGAGCTTCTGCCTCCGCTTGCCAAGCCTGAAATTGAGCTGGTGTGATGTAGGCTTGCACAGGCATGTGTCTCTTCGTGGGCCTCAAATACTGGCCGAAAGTAACCACGTCCACGCCGGCTGTGCGCAAGTCCCGCAGCGTGGCTCGCACGTCCTCCGGCCTCTCGCCCACGCCCAGCATGAGAGATGTTTTGGTCAGAAGCTTCGGTGCACGCTTTTTGGCATGCTCCAGGACGAAAAGTGATTGCGAGTAGCCGGCCCGGTGGTCTCGCACCCGTCGCTGGAGTCGCTCCACCGTCTCAAGATTGTGCGCGTACACATCCAAACCCGACAGGGCTACGCGTTCGATGAGACTTGCTTGGCCTCTAAAATCGGGAGTCAAACATTCCACGAGGAGCGTCGGCTTCCGTGCCTTTAATCCTCTGAAGCGAGTTTGTTTTACTTACGATGAGCTGTTGAGCGCAAGAACAGCGAAAATTCTCGCACAGATTTGACTACCTTCGTCCTTACCTGACTGTTTTCGCGAAGTGCTCTGATCCTTGATCTACCAAATCATCTCGGTCAACACTAATGAAATGCGATGTCCGTAAAACCAGTGAGCCTGAGTGCGTGGATGAGGACCCTCGTCCATCACGAGTGCAAACCCGCTATCTTACCTTGTTAACACAACATAATCCAGACCCCATTCTGCGATGGCTCGGGCCACATGTTCTGGCTCCAATGGATCTATTGCCATCAACGAATGGGTGTGAAAAATGAGGTCCGCTTCTGAGCAATACATACTATACATAGATGTTGATCAAGTTACGTTTTTCTCACCCAACGGCGCCGGCGTCCGACTTGTCTTTACAGCACAAAAGCTGCAGCCTCGCGTGCAGGTGTCGCCCATTATCATGATGGTCGCAGTGGCCGTGCCGTCCTTGCCACCCCCCCAGCACTCCCCGATGTTCGGGCAGCGAGCCTCTTCGCACACAGTGGCCAACTTCAGCTTTCGTACCTTTTTTTGCAAGAAAGGAACGACACCATGAGTTTTTTGCCCAAAAGTGGGTAATATTCTCACAAACCCGCCTGCTTACCGTGTTCTTCAATCGGAGATAATTCTCGCCTTCAGCGGGCACTGCCTTCAACCACTCTGCCAGAAAACGAGTGAGGAATACCGTGGATGACGTCAGAGTCTTTTCAATCAAAAGCATCTCCTCCACATTGAAGAACGTACCTGGTTTCGGCTCCGAGCGCTTACGACGTCGTGCAACGGGAAAGGTGGCTTTAGGCACCTCCTTATCAGGCAAAGCACCATGGGTGGGACAAGTCCCAGCGTGCGCAGCATCCTCCTCTTTCAATTTTTCACGTAGCCGGTCAAGGCGGGGGGAGGAGGATAGGTTTTTGGTCGCATATGCCGTGAAAATACTTTCTATCCGCCAAAATGTTGGAAGAGCAGGGGCTAAATATGCTGACTGCTTCACAGCAGGCGATATGCGGGGGGCCCGCACTAGAGCCCGCATTTTACCGGCCAGGACGGGGACTTTTGAAAGAAGAGACTCTACGAGTAAGCAACACCTTGCGAGGCAGCCCCCTGATTCTTGAGATCGCAGTGGAGCCTGTGAGCATCGGCATTGGAGGCAGTGAGAGGGACAAAGGGGCTCCAGCGGGGCACGGCGGGTCGAGACTCTAAGCGGCGACTCGCTGAGCCGCTCGCATACGTCACCGCCCCAAGAGGAAGGACTGTCTGCCGCGCACATTTATCCAGGAGCGTGAGATGGTCAAATAAAACGGCAATGTAACTCTGCCACGCCACCTTATTGGCATGATTTTCATGGGACCTTCTTCTGTCGTTCGCCTTGGGGTCTCAACGCTAAAGCATGATGTCTCCAATCGCCGCGTCATGTTCTCAGCCGGCCGTAGTAAAATTGCGAGAGCCATGTCGTGCGTTCCATCGATTATTGTACAACCATTTTTTCAGCCGACAGGCGACGCATTCCCATCAACGTAATAGCAGCTTCCAGGGAAAGGATGGTTGAAAGTAAACACACGTTGGCCGAGACAATACAGCCTTTCGCATGCGGCGGCCTAAGTGCCTGTTTCGCTAGTAGCATCATCCACCCAATCGATCTTGCCAAGGTTCGTCTGCAGCTCTTTGCCACCCTTAATCCAGGCGTAAAGCGCCCAAGTGCTGTGAGCGTGATTGTCAACCTTGTAAAGACCGATGGCATTACGGCAGCGTATGCGGGCCTGAGCGCCTCGTTGATGCGACAAGCCATCTACGGTACGGCACGAATCGGATTGCACAGAACATTTTCTGATAAACTGGAAAAAAGCACGGGCGGATCTATCCCATTCTGGATGAAGACTCTTAGTGGTATGGCATCAGGAGCTATTGCTGTATGCATCGGAACGCCATTCGATGTGGCGTTGGTGCGCATGCAAGCAGATTCCATGAAGCCTCTCGAGCTGCGAAGAAATTATAAAAATGTGTTTGACGCAATAGGTCGTATATTCACGGAGGAAGGGCCAATGCGACTCTATGCGGGCTTGGCGCCTAATGTGCTGCGTGGCATGTCCATGAATGTAGGTATGCTAGCCTGCTACGACCAGGCGAAAGACGCCATCTCCGCGCACGTGACCAAAGACCCCGACCCCAAAAAGCCCTCTCTGCTCACCAACCTGCTTTCCTCCGCCGTGGCTGGCTTTACGTCGGCTTTTTTCTCCTTACCCTTTGATATGCTGAAGTCTCGTATGCAAGACATGAAGCCAAACGCCCAAGGTAAGATGCCGTACTCAGGACTCGCGGACTGCACCCTGACGATCTTCCGTCAAGAGGGCATCCTCGCTTTTTGGACGGGATTTCCCGCATACTACGGGCGCTGTGCGCCGCACGCCATGATTATTCTTCTGACAATCGAACAAGTGAACAAGATTTATCGCTCTATCTTCCTTTCGCCCAAGCCCGCACCACTTGTCGCGTAGGTCCTGCTGCCTGCCCGGCCCCGATACACGCCGAAGAAGGAAGGAAAGGTCTTAGAACTCTGATCGGGGTCTAGTGCGCGGTGACTGGTTGATGGACACAACCAGTAAGTCAAAGTGGACGCCGAGACGACAAGTGAACAAGGATTCTGAGAGAGAAACTTTTTTACACCTCCCGGTGTCATGTGACGAGAGAAAGTATCGAAGAACCCACGTTCGCGTCAAGGTGGCAATGACGCAGAACGCTTCATGGCTTTTTTGTAAACATTAATCTACAAATGCACACTTGATAGCCAGGGCTGAACGTGCAGCTGACATATCGGGAGGGTGTCTCGGAAGCTACACATAATTAGTGCTGATGCAAACCTCGCTGTGCCAATTTTGTAGCAGGACGAGCAAGAATGAACCATGCAAAGAATTTGATATGCGGGTGATAACGTAGCCACACCTTCCGATAGGATGTAGTCATCAAAAGCTACACGTCGGTTTGAACCTTTCCCCACCAAGCGGAAATATTCGTACACACCAGGATTGCTTTTATCAATACTTGTTTATTTAATCGGAAGTGCTGCAATATTAGTATCAAGTTTCTTGAGACTACCCTCACCGTAATAAAGTGCTCTGCATCATCATAAATCATATGCTTCTTGCTACAGATGGGAACATCTCTATGTTGACGGTCGTTAGGCCTCCTCCCGCGCTTTGTCGCGATGCTTCTTGTGTTTTTTGTGCTTCTTCTTTTTGGCCTTTTTCATTTCCTTTTCAGACTCGGAATCCGACTCCGTATTATCACGGTGATCTTCCCCCTCATCCTCCCCTTTCTCAATTTTTGCTGATGTAGATGGTTTGGCGGTTTCCCCTTCGACGGCGTTTGTGGCCCCTCCGCCGCCGCCGCTCCCGCTTTGGTTGGCCTTGTAATCGGCAAGTTTGTCCTGATATAAGGTCTTCTCTTTCACGGCTAATTTTTGGTACTTCTCCTTCTCCTCCTCATTCAAATTTTTCCAATCATTGGCCAGCACTGTCATAAGCTCTGTCATCTTAGCTTCCGGTTGCTCCGCCCGCAAAGTTGGAGTTTTCTCGCATACATACAATTGATACCCGCTTTTAGGCCGCTTGGGCAAGTCTGGATCTCGCTTCGCGGCCCTGCGCTTTTTTCCTCCATTCGTTTCCTCAGTACACTTTTCTTCGGGTAAGTTGAGCACGGCCTCAAGCGTCGCTTCATCTCCTGCAGCTAACTTAGCAAAGATGGCGGCATGCTGAGCAGCAAAGGCGGCCTGTTTCTGAAATAGCTTTGCGAAACATAGCGCAAGCTTTTGAAAGTCTAGACCATGGCCGCTCCGATCGCCACCTTCTGACATGACACAGCGTCGGTTGATTAGAACCGAGTCCTTTTTTGAGGGGAAGTGGGTGGTGAGGGTATTATGGCGGGTGTTACAGCTTGGCGCGCTTATGATGTATGATCTTCTTGTTGTGGTACTGAGCGACAGAGGCCAAAATGCCCAGGCCCGTGAACAGAGGGACCCAAAGTCTTGAGTTCATCTTACTAAGTGCATGTGCGTGCAAATAAAATTGTGGTTCGAGCCAATGTGTGCTCCTGCGCGGCGCTTCTCGAATATCTTCAAGCCTCAGGTCTTGACTTTCCCGCCCCCGCCGGGGTATCTACGACCCCACGACCCGGCAGTGGCCGCCTTTACGGGCCCTGGTCCATCGGCACGGCGCGGCCTTTTTGTTGCGTCCGATTCTTCTTCACATCGCACCTATGTCCAATTGACATCCCAAGCTTGTCGGTCGGAGTTCGCAGATTGCACAGTGATGCCATCGCACTTGCTCCCATCGCTTCCTCCCAGCTCTTGCTCGGCCCTATCATAGGATAACCTTTCTGCAATAACTTCAATTGGGCACGCCCCCTACAATGAGGCTCGTCCTAACACGTTTTTGAGTATGACAGGGAGTTTCGCGTGCGTTGGTCGCAGAGGAAGCCGCAGAAGTTGTCATGATGGATGAAGATTAAGCGGCCCGCAGTCCTGTACTTACAGATGAATTTTACTTCAACTCTTCTCTCGGCTACTCAGGTATTGAGGTACAAAGTCTGCTTTCATTATGTTAACCGAGGATGATATGGAAGTGAATGACAGTGCAGACGAGGACGATGGCTTCTCCAAGGATTTTGACGTAATTGAAGATAATCTGATGGTGCTTATTGATGCTCGGCCCCCCATGCTGGTGGAAAATGTCCAAGGCACGGTAGGTGACCGGGGGGTGCGTAGGCAGTACCCGGGGAGGAGCAGACCTCAGGATCTTGCGTCATCTTATAGTAGAAATAAACTTATGTGATGAGACATTTAGCCAATTACCTGGTTTAACTCGTTCGCTCATAGGTGCCTTTGGTGACCGCTTTGGGTATTATTCATCACGTGCTAAAACGCAAAATTATGATCAACCAGCGGGACCATGTTGGAATCCTCCTCTTTGGAGCAGAAGCAGTGGACGAAAAGGGAGAAATTGTAGGCTCTGGAAATGCAAAGTTTTCGGACATGTCCCGCATGAGTCAGGTTTGGGGGAATCAGGTCCATGAGTTACAGACATTAGGACAGCCAACCGCCAAGCGGATCAAGCAAATCGAACGGCTCTGCCATGAAGACACCAATATCATGAACGGGCTATGTCTCAAGCACGCACAAAAGCTTCCAGGCTCTTCTACGTCGGCGGCGCTGCGGGACGGTCTTAGAGCATGTCTTCGGATGCTCGAGGGGCAGTCCAGAAAGGAATTGGACAGTCGGCGGATCTGGCTGTTCACCAATGAAGATGATCCCTCCCAGGTGAACGATCCCAGCCAGGTGATAAAGGACGCTCGGGAAGGAGGCGTCGAGATGTGGGTATGGCACTTCCCTGCGCAAGATGGTCGCGAATTTAACAGAAATAAATTTTACGAGCCCTTGCTAGCTGCACCAACTCGATTTGTCCAGGACGGGTATAAAATAGCCGATGAAAAAGATCCAGGGTATTGTACAAAGATGATAGATGCAGGATCTGGAGATGTGAACTCGCTCCTGCTAGGAGCCCGGACACCTCTATTCAAGAAACGCCGTTACGTGCGTACGAAATTGCACATATCTGTGGATCCACCCATTTCTCTCGATGTGGCATTCTACAAGACCATTCAACGATGTCGTAAGCCGATGCCCGTAAAACTAGCAGCTGTATCAAACAGGAGACTGGCCACCTCCACCAAGTGGATGTGTGAGGACCTAGTGCAGTACGTGGACCCCGAGCTTGACGTAGCATGTGGCTTGGAGTTTGGAAAAGGCGGCGTCACTATTCCGCTACACAGCGCTGCATACGAAATGAAGCAGCGCGTTTGCCAAAGAGATCCGGGCCTGCATCTTTTGGCCTTTCTTCCGGCAGAAGAGTTGGCTTGGGAGCTAAACGTGACCAGCAGTACCCTGATTTATCCAGAGGAGATGGCTCTCAAAGGTTGTACGCGAGCCTTCTCTGCTATCCGAAAAGCCATGCTCCAGCAACATAAGATGGCTTTAGTCCGGCTCCACATCAATGCGGTGTCGTATCCACGTCTGGCTGTGCTCCTTGCACCACCTGCCACGCCCGGTCTGGAGCTGATAGTTCTACCTTTTCTTGACGATTTGCGCGCCATAGAAAGCCCACATTTGGAGAGTTTACCTGCGCTACCAAGCATGGATCAGAAAGAGGCTGCGAAAAGTGTGATTTCACGTCTGGCGATGAGGTGGGAGGAATACTACCAAGGCTATAGCAATCCCGGTTTGCAAAAATTTTATGCCGGCTTGCAAGCCCTGGCCCTAGAGCAATCAGAGGTAGACTGGAATGAGTCGGCAGACGACCGAACATGGCCGGATGAGAAAGAGTTGCTGGGACGGACGGGTGAGGCTATGCGTGGTTTGTGGGAATCAAGCCGCGATCCGGACAAGGTCCTGAACGGCGGGTCAAGTGGAAAACGTAAGTCAACGGTCGCGGGGGTGGATAGGCTTCTTTCTTTGAAAAAAGAAAAAAGGGAGGTGAAAGACTCAGGTAAGGCAGAAAAGGGCCATCATGATAGTGTAAAAAGTGAGTTTGAAGCATTTGAGGGAGCTCAAACAAGAGAAGGACTTTCCAAACTGACAGTAAGGAAGCTCAAGGACCTTTGCCAGGAATTGAAATTGCACGTCTCCGGCAGGAAAGACGACCTCATCGATCGCCTTCTTTCACAAGGGTAGTGGATTATGTTGAGGCGAAAAAAATGTTTAATCAAGACTTACTCCCATACATGACAGACAAGAAAGAGAAGTATGCTTGTAGAATTGGTCTAAAAATGGCAGTCATGACTCTTCTTACGTCTAAACCGACTTGCAATGTTCAATCAATGTGTTTGACGCAATATGCTTTTATCTCTTAGACAGTTTGGTCCCAAGGGGTTTCTGAACCTTTCCTGGACGGTTTGGTGCTGTGACCAATCGTATGGTATCATTCTTCAATATTCAATGATGCTGCGTACCGATTACAGATAGTCGGTCAATCATTTGTCCGTCACCACCACGTGATTTAGGCTGGATAGTTACTGTGGTGCCCGATGATAGTGTCAGCCTGCCTGTGCACTTAGGCTGTTTCCATGCGCCAGTGTCTGCGAGTGTCGTCCACCCGCTCCGACGTTTTCTCCGCCCTCCCTTCGCATTGTAACGTGGGACGTGAATACGTGTGCTTTTTTGTTTGTGGTTCACTCTCTTACGGCTCCATACATGATTATTCGTTTTGTTTTGCGTAATCATCAGCCTTTGTTCTGGGTCCGGAGCCCGCATTGACTTTTTTCTCCGGAAGGGTTGGGCCATACCAGGAGGTTGGCTCCAACGGCTCGAGAGCTCCCGCGTGGATGCTCGCCCGCCCCATGTCCCCTCATGCCTCAATGGTGGGAAAGCGTTCAAGACCCCCCGTGTTCCGTTGATCTCTTCCCCAGCGCATCTCCCTTCTTCTAGGCGCTCCAGTGTGCTACGCGGTATACTTACGGCTTGTAGAGAGTCATTGTTGAATGATGGCATGCACGACATCATATGTATTGCTTCCTTAGCCACCGGGCAGGAACACTGTCATGAAGTGTTGCTTTGATTGCCTTGAGTGAAATGCTTGATTGAATGGTGTTATGCATGCAATGATGTACATGAACTCTTACCTAGTGGAGTCGAAATGCCATTTCGAGTTTTTTAATGGTACCTGTTCTTGTCCCCTTCCTCGGCCGTTGGTCTCAGGTTGAATATCCACTGCTCACCAGTCGCTCTCTTTACTGCACGAAACGTGTCCAAGAGTTAATGAATGTCAAAATGTGTTCGTGGCTGTCGGCTGCGAGCTTGGTCGCCGCACTGTTTTTCTTGGAGTTGGAGCAAGGAAGGGCATTTCTTTCAATGGGAAATCCGAAACTGGTCAGGAGCGGTACCTCGGCGTGTGGACGTGTGCGTGGTTTTGTGAGCGCGGTGCAATCCGTGCCGCCTCCTAGTACTGCAAGCATAATTTCTTCTTCGTCATCTTTGTCGCAAAAGGCTCCTTGGTCGCCTGATTCCTGGCGCAAATTTACTCCACGCCAAATGCCTGTTTATGACGATGAGGTAAGCCATTACGAATCTGTCATCAAAAATAGCCGGTATTCGGAATTTTCGCATCAATGTAGTGATCTAACGCTGTGTCCTCTTTTTTGATATTGAAAGGAGGAACTCGTGAAAGTAGAGCATGCACTGGCTAAGTCGTCACCACTGGTGTTCGCAGGCGAGTGCCGTCAGCTTCACGAACACTTAGGTAAGAAAGAAATGCATGGCACAGCTTCCATGCTCGTGCACATGCAAAGCCCTATACGTTATCGCTGTCTGATGTCAAAGTTCGATGTGTTCCCACTCGATTGCCATTGAGAAAAGCTTTTAACATTTTACTTATTGGATGAGTAATGTCACCCCTCTCCGGCTGACAGCCAAAGCTGCCATGGGTCAGAGCTTTTTGCTCATGGGTGGGGACTGCGCAGAAAGTTTTAAGGAATTTCATGTCGATACTATCAGAGATACCTTTCGTGTGCTCCTGCAAATGGCACTGGTCCTGACGTTCGGCGGGTCCATGCCCGTCATCAAGGTGGGCCGAATGGCCGGCCAGTTCGCAAAGTAAGATGAGGTTGTGGTGAGACCAACGATGTCCCATAGGAAAACATCTTCTTCTATAAAGCATACAACAACATCGAGCCTAGTCCATCTTTGACAGTATTTGACTCATTCTCAATACCTGCCAGGCCTCGTTCGGAGCCGCAGGAGGAGGTGAACGGCCTGAAATTGCCGAGCTACCGAGGAGACATAATCAACAGCGAGTCTTTTACTGAAGAAGCACGGCGCAACAATCCCTGGCGCATGCTCGATGCGTATCATCAGTCTACTCAAACGCTGAATATCCTCAGAGCCTTCGCGACAGGTGGCTATGCCGACATCTCGCGCCTGCACGCCTGGAACCTGGACTTTGTGGAAAAATCCGAGGAGGGCAGTCGGTATCGGAAACTGGCGTCAAAAGTCGACGAGTCCTTACGATTTATGAAAGCTATCGGCGTAAATACGGAGTCTGCTACATTCAAACAGGCACAGTTTTACACTGCGCACGAATGCCTCCTGCTTTCTTATGAGCAGGCGCTGACCCGTCAAGACTCCACGACTGGGAAGTGGTACGACTGCTCGGCGCATATGCTTTGGATAGGAGAACGAACTCGACAGCTTGATGGGGCGCACTTGGAATTTACTCGCGGCATTGGGAATCCTCTCGGTGTTAAGATTTCGGATAAGATTACCCCCGAAGAGCTTCTGGAGGTGATTGACAACTTAAACCCCAACAACATACCTGGCCGCCTCTCCCTCATTGTGCGCATGGGCGCAGACAAGCTACGAGAAAAGCTTCCGGCACTTATACGAGCTGTTCAAAAGGAGGGTCGCTTTGTGGTTTGGGTGTCAGACCCCGTGCACGGTAATACGATTAAGGCGGACAATGGTTTGAAGACACGACCCTTCGAGAAGATTCGGGATGAATTACGAGCTTTCTTCGATGTTCACGACCAGATGGGCACGCATCCCGGCGGTGTGCATTTAGAGATGACAGGTAAAGACGTGACTGAGTGCATCGGCGGTACCATCCAGGACATTAAAGTGGACGACCTAAACAAGCGCTACCACACGCATTGCGACCCTCGTCTCAACGGCGTACAAGCTTTAGAGCTGGCTTTTCTAATCGCTGAACGGATGCGTTCACGCACTGGACTTCCACCCCTCTTCAACGACGCCTAAAATACCTGGAATTGAAATTCTCAAGTAGTAAGCGGAATGTGTAGCCTGTTCGATTCTCGCGGAGGAACCCGCGATATACGAGGAGGTTGATTGTGGGGACTCCAGTTACGCATGGTACTCTAATACATGCACCTACATGTTGAGCTTTTGGAAGGAGAAAGAGAACTTTAATCTAAAAGAAAGGGAGGTAGAGGATGTGACTCTTAATATTCGATATTGTGTTTAAATAGTTGATATTAAACGCAATTGTCGCGTAAGTTGAATGGCGACACCGATCTGAGGAAGAACTCCCTTCTATCGTGTTCAGAAGTCACTATACATACATCTCTTCTTATCTTCAGAAGCCTCCTTTCTCGTTGTGGGAGGGAAGGAAAGTGAGGAAACCCGCAAGACAGCCAGCCTACAAAGAGTAAAAGTAATGACAACACGAAAATTGGCCACACCCAAGGATCAAAGTGGAGATTGTGAGTTTTCAACGTTATGTCTAATTCTCTATGTGTTTAAAAGGCCTTAGCTCGTCAGATATCTGCACAGGATTCTGCCCGTGCACTGAGTCGGTACATTTTTGGAACGTTTTGTTGGGTCTCTATCTGGGGATGTAAGCCCTCGGTGTCACAAACGTTGCACAGTCGGACAGTACACTTGAAAAGTGCCGCTTTCGATTGAGCACGGAAAACAGCGCTGCATGGTAGTACCACAGTGGACGACTGCGAAGAGGATAGCGAATCACTCTCACCACCTCCACAAATTGGAGCAAAGTCAAGTATTGGAAGGGTGGCGAGAAAGCTGCGTGTTCGTCCGGGCTGTAAATCTTCCTCTGAAGTTAAAATCCAACGAAGATTAGGACGCTTCCACTTAACTCCATTTGATGGAGTGGCGCCAAAAATGTTTTCGACCAGTTCTAGACCGAGCAAGTGAAACTATCTCCACAAATATGTTTGATAAAGGTACGTACTGGCTACGGTTGCTCATGCCGTGCAGCGATACTTTTGCTACTTGGCCATTTATAATTGTCTTGCTCGATTGAAGACGAATGGGTAAGGGACGAACACTGGGTTTCGCTATGTACTGTGGGATACGTAGGGACGGCGGAATGCTGTCGGAGAGGGGGATGCTGCATACGAATCGAGGACTTGACGGCGACACCGATGGTACTCTCTCAATCGCCTCTAAAGTCTGATCAGGTATTGGTCGCACAAATTTTGGGTTGCATACAATGGAGGCTATCTGGGAAATTAGGTCAACGAGCTCCACTTCCATCGGATGGCTGCTTAGGGTTCGTAGACGAGCTACAGACGTGGGACGTCAACAGGACGGCTCCCTTGAGTGAAATTGCAATCTCTTTTGGTTAAAATTTAACGGTCAGATCTTCCACCATCGGCGAGACTTACATTTAACTGTTATCGACCAGGAGTGAGGAAGTTTTCAAAGAGATTTTACGAGTCATGGACTTCAAGTAACAAGGCAGCGGTTCCAAACCTTCTTCGACCTCGTTACGGGGATTGCGTTAAAATTCATTTAAATCCCACGATTCTTTACAAGTAGCCATTTCAGCAATGTCACTTCCATGACGCCTTGGGAAACTTCTGTCCATGTAATCGAAAAAAGAATCGAAGCCGTGCTTCCAGGTGTGCGTATTTGCTACTCGCACAGCGCGTGACCGC